GTAATAGTGAAAACAAAAGGAAAGCGTGCGATATAAGTTTTTTTTCGTTTCCTACGGACGCAAATCTGGCGAAAAAGTGGAAGCAGTTCTGCCGGCGAGGAGATGCATTAAACACCAAATCGAGCTATGTATGCATGAAGCACTTTACTAGTGAAGATATTGAAAATAATACACAGTTTGAAATGGGTAATATATTTTGTATCTTCATAATAATTGCATTTAATATTGTTTTTGTAAATGCCTTTGGTTTTGCAAAACTTCGTCGTTTAAAACGTGGTGCGGTGCCTACCATTTACGAAGAAAATCTGGGGGACTCCCAGCGTGCGGAATGAGCTTAGCACAGGGAAAACAAAAGAATTGTTAGCAAGTTACTTGAGCAGAGTGAGACTGCCGTTGCCACTGCAGGTAACCATTTGCATTTATATAAAGTTTTGCATTATACTGTAGCTAAGTTTTTATAGCCGTTGCGAGTGATACTGTTGATGCAAATATATCTGATAAAAGTGAGAATAATAAGGAAAATAGCCTTACGGAAGCAAACCTTTCCGATATTCCCACGACTTCAACACCTCGCAAAGTAGTTTATTATGACAGCAGTTTGCAGGAAGTTGAAGAGTTGGAAGCAAAATTGTAAGTTTTTAAAAGCAATACAGCACTAAAAATATTGGTTTATTGAACAGTTTTCTTTTTATTACATGCATATTAGAGAAACATTAAAGCGAGAAAATATGAACCTGCGAAAAGAAAACAAAAGGTAATGCACAGAACTGGCAGAACTCAAGCACGAGTACGAAAAACAAACCAAAAAACACGCTTACGAGGTAGAGCAGTTGCAAAAGCGCTTGGAGGAGTGCGAAAACTTTTGCAAAAGTATGGAGACCAAATTACAAGGAATATTCACGAAGGGTCAGGTTGCGAAATTTAAACATAATATAAAGAAACATACCTGGACGCAGGAAGACGTAGCGCAATCTATAACATTGTACGCCGCTAGTCCCAAAGCGTACAGATTAATGTACAAAAAAGGTTTTCCGCTACCTGGAGTTCGAACGCTAGACGGGCACAAAAAATCGACCTTTCAAGAGGTTTAATAAACCCAGTCTTTAAATTATTAAAAGCCTCTACACAAATGGACACTATTCAAAAAGTATGTGTTTTGAGTTTCGACGAGATGAAGGCCAGGCAAAGTTACTGCTATGATGCCTCATCAGACTCAACACTAGAACCTGCCAACTATGTGCAAGTAGCGATGCTCAGAGGTAAATATATGTATATTATAAAGAACATTAAATGAAATTTACAGTAATGAATTAAACATTGAATAAATCTACTTTCTTCATTAGGACTTGTATCTAAATGGAAACAGCCGGTGTTTTACGACTTCGACTGTAAAATGACAAATGAAGTGCTCTTCAATATATTACAAAGTACTAAAGATTGCGGGTACAATGTTGTAGCGGTTGTGTGCGATCTTGGCGGCACTAACAGGTCTCAGGTGTTCTTACACGATATGTATTTGCATCTGTAAATGTGAGTTTTTCAATACACATGTAATTGTGTATGTCTGTCAAATTCACCGTTTTTATTTAACTTTTTAAAAATACGATCTTTGAAAACGAAATAAAGTAACCTTAGATGATTCTATCTGTGTGTCAGATGAAAATAGAAACATTTCTATTTCGTATGTACGTGCATATGCTTTGTACAGAAACAAATCTAATTTGCCTTTACACGATATGTTGGTATTTCCATATGTAAAAAGTGGCATGTACACATGCAAAAACATATCGTGTAAGAACACCTTAAACGGGCTGGGAGTGCATGAAGACAGGCCGTGGCAAGTTTATAGAAATATAAAATCGTTTGCAGTTTATTTTATATTTTGTAACATATTCCTCTTTTACAGGTTTGTTTTTGATGAGCAGCAAGTTTTCACGTTTGCAGACGTTCCTCATATGCTCAAATTACTCCGTAATCACTTCCTTGACCAAGGATTTGTGATAAATGGCAAAACAGTAAAGAAGGAAATAATTTTAGAGTTATTGTCTATCACCTCTAATGATTTGACAATAACTCATAAAATTTCAGCAAACCATTTGAATGTGTCTGGACCGCAAAGACAAAAAGTGAAAACAGCGGCAAAACTATTTTCGCATACAGTAGCGCAGGCAATAACTAGAGCAGCAGGTTTGGGACATTTGAGTGGCCACAATTGGAAAGAATGCTTCGAACTGTTTAAATAGGTAAGATTTACATACAGACGTGTATATTCATATATGTAATTATGTATACTTCATCATTTAAAATATTCCATTTTTAGACTAACGATTGGTTTGATGTGATGAACGTGAGGACACCACATGCTGACGCAAGAGCACGCTGCCACGCCTACGGTGTAGCGATGAATGAGCAAGTTCAAATATTAGATGGGATGACGGAAATGATGAAAAGTATGAGGGTTATAGGCAAACACACCCTGCTACCATTTCAAAGAGGTAAACTAGTATATTTGCAGGCACACATATAAAGTGTACATTATATATAAAGTATACATATGTATATTTACCTGCAGGTATTATACAGTCGACCAATGCGTTGAAGATGCTGTACGAAAACGTTAAAAACCGGTTCGATATGAAGTATATTTTAACGTATCGCTTGAACCAAGATGTGATCGGAAATTTCTTTGGAGTCATTCGAGCAAAAGGCGGCTTACACGATCACCCGGACCAACAAGAGTTCAAATATCGCCTTCGAGGATATTTACTTGGACGTAATGAAGGCGTGATATCGAATTCGGCAAATGTGGAAGAAGATGATACACCAGACTTGGAAATATCGCAGCCACCTCTTACAGGTAATACAAATTTTGAATAATAATTTTAATATAGCATAAATAGTAACTTGTACTTCTGCAGGTTTCATACTAAAAAGCTTTGTTCCTGAAGAATGGCCGATCGATATAGAGCCAGTAGAGTTCGAAGATCCGGAGTACGATGGTCTAGAGAATTTAGCTGGTTACATATGCCACCGATTGCGAGATGATATCCCTAGTACATCCTTTAAAGGCGCAGATGATCCCTCCTACACTTGGGCAAATCACTTAAGTGAAGGTGGTTTATCTGTACCTAGCAGCAGTATGATGGAACATATAAGTAATCTAGAGTCAGTATTCAGAGCAATGAACGAAGATGGCTTGCTCATTACAAACAATTTTGTAAAAAAACATATTGAGCAAGCTTCCGATATACAATGCGACATTAAGGTGAAAAAATTATTTTTCAGGGCAAGAATGTTTCTTATGATAAGAAAACTTAATAGACAACTCATTGAAAACGCCCGGACAAAAAAAAGAAAATATGCAAAAATACTGACCTAGATTAACTTGTATCGATCCAAAAAACTGGCATTACACTTTGGGGTACCACTTCAAATTAATGCTCATCTAACGTGCAAGGTAGAGTATATGACAAAATATTATCAATTACAAAAACTAATTTAATTTAACACTTTTCCTTTTAGCATTTACAGAATACAACCCGCCTGTGGTGTGAAAAGAGAGCAAAATGGTTCATCAGTTTTAAAAAAGGCCCTTTTCAGGGCCGCAAGTATCAAACAAAGAGATCAAATTTTTTAATAAACTTAAATGGTTTTTGCTAGTGACCACATAAATGTATAGTGGTATTCACCAAATTGAGCAACTGGCCTGGCACTCTGGTAAAAGAGCAGCTATTTTGCTAGACTGCAAGGCCACTTGCATACTTTTGTGAATACCACTTATTTACGTACATGCATCATGTGCATATGAGCACATTAGCTACGTTAGGCAAAGATTTGTGCACATGCGCGAACGGCTACATGTGGTCCTTTATTTTGTCAAAACATATAACAATACCATAAATGAGAACAATAAGTATTGTTTGTAACTACAAAGCAGATAATTGCATATATGTACATATGTATACGCAAATGTAGGTATATACAGAATGTAAGGGCGATTCAACATTTTACAGAACCCTAAATAAGCATTTTGCATGTATAAAAATCTGACTACCTCACATTGTTTCAAAAAATATGTTTAACAAAAACGCGATCAACTCAAGAACAACAAATCTTCATGGATGGTAATTTACGCATATTTCAAGTACCTTGAATTTTGAACACTTTGCGAGAAGTTCTCTGATATACATAGTTCTTGGTCGATTTTGACAAATTTTGGCAATTTATTTTCCTTTTATTTGATTATTTTTTTTACTAAAACAAAACTCTACTTTTATTTAAAAAAATGAAGCAAATACTAGGAAAATAAATTGCCAAAATTGTTCACAATGAACCACTGCTATTAAATTGAACACAAGTATGCATACAGACTTTAAAATTTAAATAGTATTGTTATACATACATATATGTTGTACACAGCAGTTTTTAATAAATACGATTTTTTTATTATAAACAAAGATGCTTGAGGAAAGTATTGGGTTTACATATTTCTATTAAAACAGAGGAAATTGTAGTTAGAACAAGTTTAAAGCTAATACATGTGTACTAGGGCGGGTCGATTTAAAAATCGCTCATTGGTCTGTGAAAATCGTATTCTAGGGATCAAAATAAGAAACTTTGCCGAAGGAACCATACCTCTAAAACGAATTCTGATGTCCCCCTATTTGGGTCGAACTTTTGGGTAGGGGCAAATTTTGAAAAATCCCACTTTGACCCATTTAGAGTGCTCCAATCGAGTCCAAATGTATGACCGACCTACACTAACTTTGGACGGCCGATCCACCCATGCCAGTGGCACACCCCCTGGAACTCCCCTGGGGGGTTCCCCATACAATCATTTCAAAAAATCACCATTTTTGGCCTTTACATGAAAAAATCAGCTAAATGGCTATGTTTTTTCTTTATTTTTATTTATTTATTTATAATAATATTTATTATTTATTTATAATAATATCTATTTTTTCTCTTAAGAAATTTATTTAGTCAGAACATATGTAAATGAAAAAATTAATTTAAGTGAGTTATAGAAAAGAAACTAAAAAAAATTATTGTTTGAAGTCTTTTTTACTTTCAAGTCTGGGCAATTTCGCACGGCTCTCTAATGTCGTCGCCATAACAGCCTCTACATTTTCCGGTATAACCCGTTTGGAAACGCTAGCTAGCAATTGAACATGTCGTTCCGTTCCTTGTATGTGTGATGGAATTTTTGGATCATTAAACGGTGGATCATCTTGATTTAAATATTCTTTCAATGTATCGTACGGAATGCTTCGCGTGAATGGTGGTTCAAATACGATATTTATATCATTCAAATTGATCATTTCCGTATAACTTGTGCAATTAAAGTTTATATCTGGTTTTTTATAAACTCTAAGTTCCATTGGCTCGTCAACATCGGTTCGATAGCGTAGAATTTTCTTGATGGCACAGTCGCGCTTTTCTTTGCTATCATCAAACAACATTGATAACAAGATATTTTCCGAATGCGCATAATATGAATTATCTTTAATTACTTGATTGACAATTTTGCGTAAACGAGGTTCTAGAAATCGTGACCAACCAATGAACTTGAAAAATAATGCACTGCCGTACACGACAGAGCTGTAATACTTGATATTGAAGTACATTGGCACATAACATTTAATTATAAATTCAACCAGAATTCTTAAATTTGCATCTGGATTTTCCGTTGTCACATATAATCGCAATAATCTAGCGGCCTTGGTGAGCCACCGAGAATGTACAATTTTCCCTGGTTTGATGTTAGCCAGATCCACCGGAACCACGCCGCTAGAAATTGCATGGGCCATGTCGTATAAGTACTTCGAATCGGTGGAAAATTCAATTTTTTCTGGAGCAGGGGGCATATTTTGCAACTCAATTTTCTGGAAGCCGTCCACCACCTGAAAATATATAATAATAAAATAATTAAAAATGGTTGACAATTATAATAAATGAGTGATAGCAATAACTTACCGGAAGAGTTTCACAAGTTTCGATTTGACGGCTCAGTTTTCCGGTTGCCGATCTTGGTCCAGTGCTGGTTGATTTATCCAAAGCTTCAAACAAATGCCGAAACGGAAGTTCGTTGAAGTGTAGAAGGCAAACGAACCAATGCAATGGTCTTTTTAACAGCAATTCGAATCGTCGTATAATTCCACCGTGTGGGCCAGTGTTTGTTGGCTCACCGTCAGTGCATATTCCAATTAATGCATCCAGTGATATATTTTTATCGTTGAAAAAACCATTTAATTTGGTTGTTTTGTATTCAGCGGTTTCATGTTCCAGTCTTACGTAACCAATCAATTCAGAATTGGGTTCTCTCAAAATAACAAGATGAGGTTCTTTTACCATCCTAGTATGATGATTGTTGGGTGTTGTTTCTTCTCTTGATTTGCTCTTGATACTTGTCAAGCAATTTATTCAATTTATTAAATACACTTTTTTTCAGCATTATTTCCATACCAAGTTTTTCCCAAATTCCAATCAACTTATCTTGTACTTGAATAGTGAATGATTTATGGGAAAACTTTTTTTGTTCTGTTTTAGCACGTTCGCTTAAGTAAAAATAATATCTCAAGATATCCAGATGGGTTGGTAAATTAAGATCAGTTAAATCAGTAGACACACCAAAAACAGTAACATCATGCTTGGGTATATGACTCATTGGGTTTTCGATAGTTGTTGATGTAGTTGCTTCATCTTGCGGTGTAGAGGATGGTGGATTCATTGTAAACTTTTTGATTTGGAATGGTCACTTCACTTATTATTTTTTTTGAAATATTTTTTTATCTGAAATTAGCACTTCACACTTTGAGTTCTTCACAACGACTTAATGCATTCACAAAAACTGTTGCGTTATATATGGTCTACGAGACGAGGTAATAAGAATGAAATGGTAATTTCAATTCTACCTGCTGTGTCTTGTGGTGGCTTAAAAAAAACAACACAAGCAATTTTACGATCTGCAATTGTGTCACAGTGATACCTTCATTGTTTAAAAGGGTTGCGGTGCATTCCAGTGATACCTTAATTGTTAAAATGGTTGCAAAAAACGCGCATTTCTTAAGAAGGTGCCTTAAAATACCCACAAAAAGGGTTGTAAAAACAACCTTCATTTCTTAAGTAGGTGCTATAAAAAAACTACACAAGTAAGTTTACGACATGCAGCTGTGTCTTAAAAAACGCACACAAGCAATTTTCCGATTTGCAATTGTGTCACAGTGATACCTTCATTTTTTAAAACGGTTGAATAAAAAACCCACACAACTATGTTTACGACATGCAAATGCATCACAGTGATGCCTTGGTTTTAAAAGGGTTGTAAAAACGCTAATTTCTAATAATTTTTTTTAATTTCTTTTCTATTACTAAGTTAAATTCATTTTTTCATTTACATATGTTCTGACTAAATAAATTTCTAAAGAGAAAAATAAACTCCAAAAAGAAAAAACATAGGCATTTCGCTGATTTTTTCATGTAAAGTGCAAAACCGGCGATTTTTTGAAATGTTTGTATGGTGAACCCCCAGGGGGGTTCCAGGGGGTGTGCCACTGGCATCGGTGGGTCGGGCCTCCAAAGTTAGTGGGGGTCGGTCATACATTTGGACTCGATTGGAGCACTCTAAATGGGTCAAAGTGGGATTTTTCAAAATTTGCCCCTACCCAAAAGTTCGACCCAAATTGGGGGACATCAGAATTCGTTTTAGAGGTATGGTTCCTTCGGCAAAGTTTCTTATTTTGATCCCTAGAATATGATTTTCACAGAGAAATGGGCGTTTTTTTTGCCTCCCACAAATCGACCCGGCCTAATGTGTACATATATATGTCGCTTATGTTTGTGTTTAGACAATAGTCCGTCATAACAATTGTAATATGTTTTTCAGTATTTAATTTTAGTTTCATTTTTAACTAATATGTATTATGTATAAATACAAATGTGTACACATATAATTGTAATTACATTTATACTCTAATAAAATAAACAAGACTACATGCTTGCTTCTACCTGGAACTATGTTGGCCTTCCTTTGGTGAGTTGTAGTAGGTATATTTCCATGCTGAAAGTAGTTGCTGGTTTAGTTTGCTGGCAATGGCATACATACAAAAGCAGTTTCTACAGTAAATAGATACATGAACTTCACTACCTACTTATTTTTGTCAGTACCTGATTCTTTTTAGTGCTGGTATGAGGTAATTCCCCAGTGGATAAGGTCGCCAGGCGCTAATTCAAGCGGCATCTTACCGCATTGTTACGTACCTAATACAAAACAGTGCCCAAATTATTATACATTTAAAAGCTTAAATTATGTTTCACTTACATAGAATATTCGTTTCAGTTTGCTGCACACCTTCCTTTTGGTCTACATGAAATTGCAAACACTGTTAATACATCCATTTTTTCATGTGCTAAAAATCGTACCTACTTACCTAAAGGGCTACATGGCCAAGATTATTGCTACGTATTCCTGATGAGTCAGTCTTTGTATATTTATAGGGTCCTGCAAAATTGGGCCATGTAATATTAAAATTAACACATTTTTCTGCATTGTTTACATATTTTTATATGCGTTTTGGCATTTCTCTCTCGCAATTGCACCAAGATGACGTCACGCTAAATTTACGCTCAAAAATCCTCTCTCATTGGCGCAATCTTGTATTCTATCATTCTTGTGTACTAACACTATTTTACGCTCGGCACACAAAGCGAGAGCATGTACAATGACTAAGTTCTCTGTTGATATGCATTGGTGTAGTGCTCAATTCTCTCATTGAGCCATTAACCAAATTAGTTATACCCAAGGCATAACAAGGTAGAAGTGTTTTCGACATTTCTCTCTTTTGAACTGCGACTGAAATGTCAACTCTTAACCCTATAGTATTCAAAATTTTTTTTTTTATATATAAATTTTCAATTGTGAGCTGTGCGACTGATTTTAAATACATAATAAAATGAAAAGGAATTGCGAGCGGTGCGTTGTGTTAGTCAAGAGCCTGGACAACAAGCTTGTGCGTTATTTTAAGCATTAGAATTGTCAAGTTAAGCGGCAACGGTGGGCAAATTGCTGCGATGTTTCATTAGGAGACTCTTCACGTGTGGTCGTGACTTTATTTGTTGCCCATCGCAGCCGAGTATTTCTAAGTGGACGCGTTTGGTCCCAGGTGCAGGATTTATCATATTGAATATGAAAAGAAAATCTCCCTTTCATATGCATACATGGATAGGCCAAATTTCAAATGGTGGTCTGATAAAACCTAAATCAGTATTCCTTGTTGACATAAAGAAACTGAAAGTAATTTTTATAAGTTTAATGGAAAGGAAATTTCGAATAGCAAAAATTTAAAAGCTAAATTATTGAAGTTAAGTTCTGATGTAAATTTAGAAGAATCATACTCTTTTAATGACTAATATACTTTAGAATTAAGTATTTCAATAAAGAAATTAATGCTCAAAAACATTGGGGTAGTAAAAGCAAGAAAATTGTCAAAACGGTTTTATAAATGAGTGTGTTTCATTTAGTGTGTAATTTTGCGTAAGTATGCATTCCCATATTTACATTAAACCGAAAATTCAATAAATAAAATGAAGCTGATTCTAATGAGATTTTAAATATTTTCATAATTACAAAAACTTTCATTTCAAAGATCTTGAGTTCTATCAAATATGGTAAATGCATAACAAAGGGTTAATTTCTTTGTTTACATTTTTTGACATTACAGTCAGGTATGAGAGAGCTCGACTGAATTGCCACTTCTACCTTGTTGAATATGTATGCCTTGGTTATACCGAAATGAGTAGGAGCACTAAGAAGCACCAATAGTTCAGTTGAGTGATTTTAGTGAATTTAGTAATTTTCGTCGTTTATAGCAACAAAACATGTACAAACGACGAGAAAGCGACAGCATGCACACTAACACACTCTCACTTTTAGCTCACTCTTGTTTATGGTGGCGCCCGCATGTCGCACAGTGTTGGGAAATGAAATTGTTCCTTCAGTACGAAATCTATACAAAAACTATACTTTTCGACTGTAAATTGTATCGACTTTTTAACTTGCTCATATATTTTCTTAGTACATGCATACATAGATTCCCTTCAAGATCAATGATTTGATGGTATTCATGGGAAAGTTTATGTAGGTACATTTTACACTTTGAACATAAATGTGTATGCACATATTTTAAGGTACACTTCTTAACAAACAAATTTTTTGAAGTTATTATGCATGGATAAAGGAGACATCTTCATTGAATTCAGCACTAAAGTTTGACATTTTATTTTTAGTATTTCAAGTGCTTATCAAAACTTTACGACACTCACATATAGACAAGATTGGCCATTTATCTTAAAATTATTTAATTTTAATTATTTGTTTATAAAAATGTAGTTTATACTTTAATAAAACCCCAAGTTTCAATTCTTGCGCAACATTAAAAAATCAACAAGCTTTCGTAAAAATTTTGGGCTTTTAACTCGAAATACATGTTCTGAGAATGCCGTTTGTAGTCCGATGAATTTAAATGAAGTGCAAGTTTAAAATAGCTGCGACTTATCGTTGATTGTTAATATATATACATATATATATTTTTTTGATGAAGGTGTTGCTCATTTTCTTCGTAAAAAAAAATCGCGTTTAGATAATATGGCATTGACGGCAAATTCCATCTGCTTTAAACTTGCACTTTATTATACTAAAATTGAAATAGAAAGTTCCAAATTTTTGACGAAAGTTTGTCGATTTTTTTAATGTTGTTCAAAGATTTAAACCTATTTTCATATAGTTTTTGTTAAGGAATTAACTATATTTTTATAAACAAATAATTAGATCTAAAAAATAATAAAATAAATAGTCAACTCTAGTCAATATATGAGTGTCGTGAAGTTATGATATTTAAGAACATAAAGAATTAACGATGACACTGTTTCTAACTATATGAAGCTGATTTCGACATTTTGTTTTAATAAGATTTAGTATCGAAAATATTCTTTCAAAACTTGCCTAGGAATGTGAGGTTGATAGCACACCTTTTGCTATGTTATAATGGTTATTTCAAAAC